AACCTAAAAGCAGCAGGTGTGTCCCTACCAGGTAGTCTGGAAATGCATCGTCAGCTTTGCCTTGCACTGCCTGCAGTGCCAAGGAGAGAGGACACTACTCTGACAGCAAGCCTTAAAGCACTGTTTGGTCTAACACCATTAACAGTAATATCCATAAAACCCTTGGTCATGTCATTTAAAACAATGTTGCTATCACTAGAGATTGCAGTGGCACTCAGATCTTCTTTCATCTCTGACATGTCTGAGTCATCTCTATGAGGAATAAAAAAATTCCTCCAACCACTCTGGCTTCAGGGTCTTCACTCACAAAACTGATGAAAGTATCACTTAGAGTTCCACACACCAAAATTCTCTCATAGAATGATTGGTGTACTTCATTTACAGTATCTTAATTTAATCCTTTTATTAATGTCTTCATTAGCTTCCGAAGTAAAAACTACTTTTTTAAGGTTAAAATTAAATATGAGTTCATTTCTAACCAGTCTTCTCAGCTAGTGAAACAGATGCCACACAACCAGAGAGACTGACTACCCAATGTTTGTAAAGAATATTATAGTGATTGGTTTGTCTGACATGGGATTGCAGTGTGGGATAGAAGGTGGGTGAAGGTGGATGAAAAACTACACTTCTTCAACTGCATGCTGATCTAATAGTTTTTAAAATTTATTGAAATAATGAACTTTATTACCAGTCTTTTAAACTCAAATTGCAATGTACTTCAAGTTACATCTCAAGAAGAAACAGAATTTGCAGCTCAAGTTTTTGGCTGTTTCAATGGTTTTGATGACTACCCAAGAGCTGCACCTTAACGAGCATCACCACTGGTGAGGTGACTGGCATGTCTTGCAAAGCCGGGCACAAGAGAGCTGAAACCCAGATACCTGCAGCTGCTGGCTGATACTTATCATCGGGACTACTCGTTCACACACATGCCAGAGCAGGGGAAGGAACTGAAGGGAATATTCTTGCTTATGCCTCAGCACTTTTCCTCATGACATACTACGGTTACGAGAAGAGGCAGAGGACACCACGCCTTCACAAAATGCCCGCTGTCTCGCCACCTGCGCCGCCCGCCCGCCCCCGCTCCCGGCCAAGGGGCTGCTGCGGCTGCCGTTCCGAGCACGGGCTCCACGCCGCCCCCGCCGGGTTAGGGCATTCCCCGTCGGGCTGCTGCTTTCTCAGGAACACCGGCGACAAGACGCTCTAGCGCTCCAAGTAACCCCGGCGCCGGGGCTGCGGTCGGGCCGCCCCTTCCCCCGCGGGCGCAGGTGCCTTCCGGCCCCCACAGCGGCCCTACCT